TCTCTCTCTCTCTCTCTCTCTCTCTCTCTCTCTCTCTCTCGTCGGCAACACCGTCGTTTTTCGTAAACTCGCGGCTTTCGGCAAGGCCAATAAGATACCACGAGGAGGACGAGGTGTGAATGATATTGATTTTTTTTTTCTCAAATGATACCGCACAAACGGCGTGAAATGAGTTCAAGAGAGACGCGGCGAAAGGACGCAAGAGGTCGGAAAATCGCATTTGAGCGTCGTCACTTCGACGATATCGGGATCCCCCCAATATTGTCGCAAAGTTGCATAAGGGTTGAAGCTCCAGCCTCGTTACAAATTGTGATCTAAATACAAAAGAAACTCTCTAATTGTTTGTTATCAGTATCTTAAGAAATTTGGCGATTAGAAATGAGGAAATCTGCATCTTTCATTAAAATATATCACTGAATTATTGAAATTAAATGCAGCCAGGATAAAGGATGTTTAGATTCCTTTAAAATACACTGCCGTTGTTTTATGCGAAATTGCATTTTTGCTCAAATCTATCTCTATGGATAGAAACAAGAATTCAAGTGTTAAAATTGGCTACTTATTCACGGCTCTATACTGATATCATTATCTCAAGAGTTAATGTCAATTGATTATTCGGCACGGGCTATCGCATTATCGATAATTCTTTTATGACGCAACACTTACTTCGCATTAATTGTGCCTTTAAGCAGCTATCTGTCATACTCAAACCACTTCATAAAGGTAAATTTATTTTAAAAAATTAGTAAAGCTGTGTGATAATCTTGCTACGCATGAAGCAACCTAACGGGTATCGCTGTCGCAACATTAAAATGTTGTGTGTGTTTGAAATTACTAATATACTAATTTATTAAAAATATAAATTACACTGGTCATTTTTTCTTAATCAATCAGCTTACATATGTAGGATTGAGGAAAATAATTAAAATAAGTGAATATTTAATTTATATTTTTAGAATTTTTTTAAATTTTTATTTAGATATACCCCCTCAACATACACAAGTATACATTATACTATACGTGCTTTTCATATAATATTAAATATCTGTGAGTTTAATAAGCGAAAGATCTCTCAATAAAATTGAGAGAGAGAGGAGAAATTGAATGAGCGGACAAGATTGCAAGAGGAAAAAGAATAAAGTCGAAAGAAAGAAAGTAGCAAAAATAAATCCATAACTCTCTCTCCATAATATACACTTAAAAGTTCAATGTAATTACAGTTCATTGTTCGTAGAAACAAGGAATTTCTGATCGTGGTGAATCGCGCCGACGAAGTAACAAGGTATTCGAGGAAACGAAGAAAAAAGAACTCTTTCGTAGAATACTACAAAGTAAGGGGAAAGACGAAGCAGTCCTGCCACTTTATCAAGATGTCCATAATTTGAATTCAATCGTTTGCAAATCACGATCTCGTTCGCATCTTATTCCCGATTGTTCGGAACTGCGCGGAAATTGGGTTCACTTTAGGAAATGAGACATTTTGATCGACACGGCGGAATAACTGTTTGAAAATGGTTGGACGAGTTTACGAACGGAAAATCGTCATTTTCTCAGAATGTGCGAAAATTTTGAGCGTCTCTGATCTATAGCAGCGATGTCAATCTCCAGGTTCGTTATTGTTTGCTATCAATGATTATTGCGAGCAATACAAAACATAAAATACATATAAACTTCTGCGGAAAATAATTGTTAAAGTGATTATAAAATTGCTGATATATAAAACTGTACAAAGGCGTACAGTTTGGCAGGGACGAGATATGAAAACATTAATAAACACCATATTGAGCGCTAAAACGTTAGCGTTAATATTTCCATTCTCCGTCATTCGGCCGGGCAGGAGGAGGAAGAGAGAGAGAGAGAATCGGATCTTCCGCACTCACCATATTGGCATACACGCCGCCTGCATTTTACGGCCATATTCAGCGATTTTGCATATCGAGGCCAAGCGTGTGTATGTGCGTACATTATAGGGTAGGGAAAAAAGAGGCGAGGGTGAGAGAGGGAGAGAGAGAGAAAGGCGAACCCATCGTCGTCCTTTCTTCTCTAGCGCCAACGGAACTGCTGCAAGCCCATTCACCTTTTCCACACCGATTCACATATATACGGCAATCGCAGACCTTCTTGAGAGCTCAATTTATCGCGGAACGGCCTCCACCGCCGCCGCGCCACCGCCATCGCCACCGCCTCCGCCACCGCCGTCGTCGCCGCCGCCGCCGCCGCCACCGCCTCACCGATACAAAGCATGTCGGTGTGCGGGACGTATACCCTTCTTCGGAACAAATTGTCATAATTGAATAACCAAAGAGATAAGCGAGCTCCGCTTTGACCGTAAGCGCGCTCACGTAACTTTGGCAACGGCCTCATACGGGTCGATCCATTTAACCCTGAAGTGCCTCGAGTCCACTTCGTGCTCGACTCTAAACTCCCCTCTCGTTTCATGCCTACACGCATTCGTTTTCACGATTGAACCGGCTAAAATCGATCCGCGCGTTAAATTCCGCTCTTTATTCGTTTCGACTTCCGTGCGG